AGGGGTGTCTTTCTGTTAGGCAATTCTTCATAATCACCTAAAATATAGTTCTCACTGGGGCAACAGAACACATCTAAGACCGAGATGGAATGCCCTCCACCTGGGCATCTGTACGACCTGGGCATCTCCGTACAGCACTCTGTACGACCCTCATGGGTTCGGGTCCCTTGCATGGTCCCACATTATGCTATCTCGTCATCTTATCATGCTTATGTCTTCAAGCAAGCGTGGAGCTCCTTGAGGACAGAGGCCAGGTCTTCATCCGTTGTTCCATTGAATTGTTTTGTTAATTATTTTTTAATGTTTATTTATTTTTGAGAGAGAGAAAGAAAGAGTGCAAGCAGGGGAGGGGCAGAGAGAGAGGGAGACACAGAATGTGAAGCAGGCTCCAGGCTCTGAGCTGTCAGCATGGCTCGAACTCATGGACCGCAAGTTCATGACCTGAGCCGAAGTCGGATGCTTACCCAACTGAGCCACACAGGTGCCCCCCATTCAATTGTGTTTTTTTTTTTTTTTAAGGCAAAGCAAAGCAAACAAACAAAAAAACAGACTGTGGAGCCTCACAGACATGAATTCAAATTCTAGACCTTCCCTGCACCAGCTAGGCAACCCGATGAGACACTTAGTTTCTTTGAGTCTCCTGCTCTTGCCTATAAAATAAAGACGAGAATCCCTGCTATGTAATGTTATGGTGTTGGATAAAGTGAATATAAAGACAGACACGAATGAGAGAAAGAAGAGAAACCAACCATTGCTGAGTATGTACCATTACTCCAGATGCGGAGCAGATGCTGAATCCGAGTTCATCCTCTGCCATGTTTCTCGCACACGCCCTCCCTCCGCCCTGCATGCCCTCCTTCCACCCTGCACGCGCCCTCCGCCCGCTCAGCACCCCATCCACTCTCTGTGCCCCTATCCGATGTCAGCATCGCACTGAGTGCTGGCGGTGTGACCACAAAGCAGGTGCACTCCCCATCATCAAGGATTTTGCACTTTAGTGCAGGATAAAGCAAAGGAAACAGAGAAGTTACATTGTCATGAGACAAGAGGACGGCTGTGCAAAGACTGGCGGGACCCCACCAGAGGAAACGTCTCAGGGACATAACAGCAAAGTGATCCCTGAAAGCCGAGCTAGACGCGGCAGGATGAAGGAAAGGCCTGAGGCACGTTCAGGGCACTGGAAGGGGGAGGGGATAAGAACGCAATAATGGGCGGAAAGCTAACCATGCCCAGCCTCATCAGCCAGGACTAAGGGCCAGGCATGTTTCGATGGCAAATGACAAAAACTAAGCTCAAACTAGGTTTACCCAAAAAGGAGAAGACAGTCATCCACCTAGCCTGGTAAGGTACCTGCATAGCCACAAAACTGGAAGATTCAGGAAGCAGGGCCTCAAAAGCCCCATCCATCCTTCCTCCACTTAACATCGCTCTTCAGACAAGGTGCAGTCAAGTGCTTGGAGAGGAGAGTCCATATTCCCCTGGTTTTATCAGTCCCAGCAGAAAAAACAACGCTTTTTCAACATCCCTATATGTTGCCCAGGCTGGGGTGCTTCTGGCTCTGCTTGGGTGACACGTCCTCACACTGAGCCACTTAGAGTGGCCCTTGGAGGGGCCACTCTGACTGGTCAGCTCCAGCTCATATACTCAGTGCTACACAGACAGTCACAGGGCCATCACACCACGGTCAGGAGTATGGACAGCACTGGGTGGCCGAGTAAAACATTTAAAATCTCTAGCAGCTCAAGAAATCATGGCTGAAATTATGGAAAGAGCCTAAATGTCCATCAACTGATGAATGGATAAAGAAATTGTGGTTTATATACACAATGGAATACTACGTGGCAATGAGAAAGAATGAAATACGGCCTTTTGTAGCAACGTGGATGGAACTGGAGAGTGTGATGCTAAGTGAAATAAGCCATACAGAGAAAGACAGATACCATATGGTTTCATTCTTAGGTGGATCCTAAGAAACTTAACAGAAACCCATGGGGGAAGGGAAGGAAAAAAAAAAAAAAAAAGAGGTTAGAGTGGGAGAGAGCCAAAACATAAGAGACTGTTAAAAACTGAGAACAAACTGAGGGTTGATGGGGGGTGGGAGGGAGG